CAAGTAGAGAAAGTGAGGGTGGGCAGACACATCGAACTTTCCCACGATATCAGAGAAATTCAGGAATGAAAATGACGTTACATACGAGGTTGATGCATTTGTGCATGTCGTACTAAGCAAGGTATAAAAACAGTTGCTTTATGAGGAATTAGTTCGTACCATTGAATATTTGATGCAATAGACAAGGTGTCGCAGAAACCGATGTTGCTATAACCAAGTTTTACTGTATGTTACTTTGGTGACAATTGTCTCACGAACCATACATAAACAGTTGATCATCAGAAACTGTCAGAACCTTAACTGGATAGAAATGGGTAGCTCTTGAGTGGTGTTAACAATAAAAAAATATAGCCAAATGTTGTATTTTAGCGTCCTGTTGCACAGATTCTCATCCATGATGTGTATGTATTGGCCGTCTTGTAGTGCGCTCAATCTCTCATGCCACTTCACTACATGTTTCGGCATCACTGTGCCATCCTCAGGTGTGTTATTTACGTCAAGCTATTGCATTGCTCGCCATCATGTGTCATTTATAAAATTATCTAAAATGCACACTCTTCACTATCTATAATAAAATTTATATATATCAAAATTTGTTAAGATCCATCATCTTACACGTCTTAACTCAAACTCGCATACTACATCATTCTTCCACTATGGGAGTCGTTTTTCCTATATTTTGTGTATATTGTGTCTTGTGGTGTGTCCTTCTTAGTCCTTCCTTAGTGGAAGAATGATGTAGTACGCAAGTTTGAGTTAAGACGTGTAAGATGATGGATCTTAACAAATTTTGATATATATAAATTTTATTATAGATAGTGAAGAGTGTGCATTTTAGATAATTTTATAAACGACACATGATGGCGAGCAATGCGATAGCTTGACGTAAATAACACACCTGAGGATGGCACAGTGATGCCGAAACATGTAGTGAAGTGACATGAGAGACTGAGCGCACTACAAGACAGCCAATACATACATATCATAAATGTAGCCAAAATTAAAATGGGATGCATGAAGTAAAAAATGCAAGACCTTCCTGCTAAGTGAATATCTACTGAATATTGAACTGTAGCAACAAATGGTTAGAAATTAAATCCTTTTGGAAAGACCCTCACATTGAAAATAATGTGTTAGCTGCTGAGGATCAATAAAGGCCAAGGATCACATAACTGGCATGTTTATCATGCTGTTGACTAGCAACAGCTGCCTTTATTCCACTATTCTGCCTTTCAGCCATCATGCCACTGTATATATATATTTTGAAGAGGCAACTACATTGGCATCTGTAAAGTTACTTTCTTGATGCTTCAGTAGATTGTACAATATGGAGGGCAGTGTTAATTTCATGTGCTATTTTTCTCAACGTGAAACAATATGAAATAACGATACTTTATGAAATTAGGTGATAAAATCTGAGCTTATAGTTACAAATACACTGAAATCCCCCTTTTAAGGTTCATTTTGGGAACAGTAGAAATGAAGACTAAATTGACTAAGCCCTTAAATTGAAGAAGTTTAAGACTGAGATTACTGAGTTGGGATCACTGCATTTGAATTTTAAATGAGAGTAAACAAACAGAGGAACATTAAATGGAGGTTTCACTCTATATCCAATGGTTCCATGCACTTACCAAAACTAGTGTGAAATGTCACTGAAAAAACAAATATAATAGTGGATACAGCTTAGCAAGATAGTGAACTCACCACATTTGTGAATATATGTGCTCCGTAGGAGGCTGCTGCTGCTGCCATTGCTTGTGTGACAGCACCCATACCCCCCTTAGGATATGACCAACCAGTTCCTCCCATCATATGATGCAGTAGTACATATCTACAAATAGGCATGATCCCAAAACAAGACCTGTTATTCATATGGCCCTTGAAGAAGCGCTTAAGTTATAACTATCACTGTTTGAATTGCAGTCCAGAAACATGTAACTTATTTTTTATATTGTGGTTGTTTTCAAATTCATGTTATGCCAAACGAGTGATATACATACATACATACATATACATTTGCGTTTCAGATTATTCACAAATGTGCACAGGCACAGAATATAAAACATGTCAACAAGCCAACAAGACATTGGAAACTTGTACATTCACAAACAAAATCACTAGCATATATAAACCATACTTGTCAAAAAAACACATAAAAAATGTTAAAAGAAAATACAGATTGCAGCAAATACACATACATAGTTAAAAAGCAATACAAATTGCAACAAGTACACATACAATAGTTAAAAAGCAATACAAATTGCAGCAAGAATATATAAGCACAGCCAAGGACATAGAGTTAAATGAAGTGTACACTGTCAGACACCTCTTGACAGGTCTTGACAGAAAAGCAAGAATTCCTCAACAGTATAAGAAGGGTTTTGAAGCAATACATCCTTTAGTTTCTCAATAAACTGTTTTTTATCATGTACCAACCCAATTAAAAAATCAGGCAAACTATTAAAAACTTTTACACTCATAAAATAGACCCCTTTTTGCCTCTTTGTTAGATGCGATTGAGGAACATGAAGGTTTCTAACTTGTCTTGTTGATTTACCATGAATTGTATGATTAAAAGTATAATGCCCCAGATTGTTTACCATTAGTATCATTAAAGATAAAATATATTGAGAAGCCAATGTCAAAATTTTTAATTTTTTAAAAACTGTTCTACATGATTCTCTGGGTTTCATTCCCAACATTATCCTGATGGCCCTTTTTTGTAAAAGAAAAATCTTCTTAGCCTCCCACGAGTTTCCCCAAAATACTATCCCATATCTCATAATTGAATGAAAGTATGCATGGTAAATCATCTTTAGTGTTTCAATATTGCTATACAATTTCATGTTTCTTATTGCAAAGCATGCCTTGCCCAATCTGGACAGCATCGATTCAATCTGTGACTTCCAATTCAGGGTCTTATCAATTTCAATGCCCAAGAATTTAACGTGGGTTTCCTCATGCAATATCTCATCATTAAACTTTAAATGTATAGACATATTATCTCGATTAGTTGTATCAAATTTTACCACTTTAGTTTTCTTCAGATTTAGAGACAGGCCATTAACTGCAAACCAACGGCTTAAAGAATTCAACACTAAGTTAGACCTTACTTGGATTTCATCAATATCAATACCAGACACTACTATGCTTGTATCGTCTGCATACAACAATAACCTATCATCAGTATTTAATGCTGATGACAGGTCATTGATATATAAAAGAAACAGCAAGGGACCCAAAATCGAGCCCTGCGGCACTCCATATTCAACAATCTCCCATCCTGAACAACATTTTTCATTCCCATTAGTATACAATTCCACTCTTTGCCTTCTATTTCCCAAATATGATTTCAACCATCTTAAAGTTTTACCACCAAGTCCATATACAGCCAACTTGCTCAAAAGGATATCATGCACCACACAATCAAATGCCTTTGTCAAATCACAGAATATTCCTAATGAAAGACAGCGTCGTTCCAAAGTTTCTAATATATGATTAGTTAAGGCATAGATTGCAGATTCTGTACTTCTATTTTCTCTAAATCCAAACTGAGCAGATGAAATTAGATTATTTGTATGTAGGTGCTGCTTTATCCTATTATACATCGCTTTTTCAAATATCTTGGAGAAGATTATTAACAGTGATATTGGTCTATAATTTGCCATAACGACCTTCTCACCTGTTTTGTGTAAAGGTCTTACTGACGCAAATTTCATTCTATCGGGAAAAATTCCACGTTCAAGTGATGCATTAAGTATATGTCCAAGTGGTTTACTTATTTGATTAATGCTATATTTTAATATTCTGCTAGAAATACCATCATAGCCTGTAGAATTTTTCGATTTTAGTGTCTTAAGTATATTCTTTATTTCCACCTCAGTTACGGGTATTAATTTCAGTTCAGGTAAGTTATCATACTTAAGGTTATTTAATAATTTAATTGCCTCACTTTTATCAGCATTTTTTGTTGCCAAATTCTTAGTTACAGTTATAAAATGTTTATTAAATATTCTCACTAATTCCTTAGGATCCGTTACTCTACTTTCTCCCACTTGCAATTCTGTTACTTTATCTGAGACCTGGTTTTTTCCGGATTCTTTATTAATAATCTTCCAAGTTACTTGTATTTTATTTTCTGAATTAATTATTAATTTTTGATAATACAGTCTCTTTGCTTCTCTTATTACTCTTACTAGTATCTTACAATATCTTTTATAATATAACTTCAAACTATCATCACTTGATTTTTTAACTAAGATGTATAATGCTCTCTTATGCTTACAAGATATTCTTATGCCTTTCGTTATCCAATTATTAGAGTCTTTCTTTTTTTTATATACTATGGGAAAGCTATTTTCAAAGATTGATAAAAAAATGTTGTGAAAGATATTAAATTTCATATTTACATTCTCTTGATTATAAACTTCTATCCAATTTTCATTCTGTAAAGCCCGTTGAAAACATACTATGTTTTCCTCATTAATGTCTCTATATGCTCTAACATGATCACTTTGCCTCATCACCAGCATGTCTCCAAGTATCAGAATTTGCCCATCGTGGTCCGAGAGACCATTTATAGCAGAACAAACTTGGAATTTGTTATAAGCATTCTTGTCTATAAAAAAATGATCAATCAATGAGACAGAAGTAGTACTTATTCTAGTTGGAAACTCAATTATTTGTGTTAAATTATAAGTATCTAATAAAGCTTGTAATTGTACTTTTTTACAGTTTTCACTAAGGTAATTTATATTCGTATCACCACAGATTATTGGTTCCAATTTAAGGCTTACTAGATATGAAAGTGTGGAATCTAGCCGCTCGATAAATTGACATATATCTCCATCAGGCGCTCTATAAATACATAAAATACATAATTTCCTATTATTTAAAATTATCTTTACAGCACAGACTTCGAAAACCCTTTCCATACTTAAATTTTTGAGATCTAGCTCTTGATATGATAAATCTTCTTTAACTAAAATACATACTCCACCATTCTGACACATGTTACGTGAGAACCCTGCTGCCATTTTATATTTTGTCATAGAAAATATGGATAACTCGCTTACACTCAGATGGTGCTCACTGATACATAAAATATCCGGATAATTACATGCATCATTTAGAAAAATGTCTAGTTCTTCTTTCTTATTTCTTATGCTTCTTATATTTTGATGATAAATTACAAGTGAAGTCCACTGCCTACTATTATCCACCTTATTCTTATTATAAATCATTCCCATAAAAAATCCTTATTTCTCGTAGTTGGGATCTTTCGTCGCCTTCTCGGAGGAGCAGTTTGTTCTGCTACTCTGGCTATCCTCTGCTCATCCACGGAATGATCACTGCTTGGATTATCATGGACTCCCACTTGATTCAGATAGGTATTCTCCTGAGACATCAGTAAAATCGTAGCATGATTTGCTACATTAGACTCTATGGCCCCATCACCCACTAACTGCTCCATGGTGTTCCTTCCACAACAATTCCCTTCAACAACCTCAACACCAGACGTCTGCTTTTCATTTAAATGGCTCTGCATTTCATCCAGATAACTCCACTTTAATACAACTGGTTTCGAATCGTTAGCACTAAACAAATCCTTTATCACTGAAGCTACTCTTCTTGCAATATGTTCTTTCCCTTGAGAATTTAGATGATAACCCTGTCTTGTGAATAACTCACGCGTAGAGTCTACTGTTACCACTGAAAGATTAGAATATGCCCTTTTTAGTTTTTCAAGTCTTCTATTAAACAGTTGAACTTCACAATTTACACAGGAATATATCATTCCATAACTACACATAGAGTGAAGCAGATAGTCCACTGGTCACACATTCTGTGAGGAGGACAACAAACAGGCAGATCACTCTAGGGTTTCTGATATCTGACTAGAAGAGTGTTCTGATACACTTCCTCCACCATAGGCAAATTATATCTGAAATTAGACAAAGAGGAAGGAACTGATATTTGAATTCTAATATTTCAAACTTATGTAACAGGTGACAGAATGTGTACAGAATGGAATGTATCTACAAGTATCCAGAAAATACAAAGCAGGATGAGTATGTTAAAATACATATCTTGTGGCACATAGATATGAACCAAAATAAAAGAGACAGAATAGTTACACTAGAGTCTGCAGCATGCATTCTGAAATTAATCTTGCCAGAATATCCTACATTATGAAGTAACCTAACTGCCCTTCACAGTCAGATTTCCTGGCGGGAGTGAATGGGAAGACAGGTTTTGGCTCGATAGAAAAGGGGGACTGATCTGGTATACAGATGGTTCCAAGATAAATAAGGGCACTGGAGCTGGTGTGTACTGCTATGGCACGAGGCGGAAACTTAGTTTCAGCCTTGGGCAGTACACGACAGTATTCCAGGCAGAAGTATATGCCATTAAGGCATGTATTATAGAGAATTTAGAGAGGAACATCTACATTCTATCTGACAGCCAGGCTGCACTTAAAGCACTTGACAAACACCAGATCAACTCAAAATTGGTCTGGGACTGCCACCAAACCCTCATGGAACTGGCCAAACATAACGGTACAACTGATATGGATGCCAGGGCATTAGGGTATTGCTGGAAATGAAACAGCAAATCAATTAGCTAAGACTGGAGCTGAACATCTGTTCACAGGACCTGAACCAGCCTGTGGCAACTCTATGGGAGTTGCCAGAAAGGCAGTCAGGGACTGGACAAATATGATTCACAAGAAATACTGGGGATCCTTGACTGGACTCAGGCAAGCAAAGGCTCTCATATGAGGACCCTCTGCTAAAAGAGCGAAGGAACTGTTAAGTTAAACAGGGACCATCTACGATGGATGGTAGAACTACTTACAGGACACTGTCACCTTAAAGGACACCTCTTCAAACTGGGACTGAGTGACAGTCCCACTTGTGAGAGATGTCAAGAAGAAAATGAAACAGCCACACGAGCAGTGCAAATTTCGAACAGCAAGAAATCTGTGCAAATGTTACTGCAACAGCGTTCTTCTGAAGGCGGAAATAAGTCATCGGATATTTTCACAGATCTGTGTGATGTTCTGGTGTCCGCAAATATTCTGTTTTGGGTTCTGAAAAATGAAAAACTGAAACATTTTCTGGAAGTGAATTGTGGTTGCTCTATCCTGAATGAATTCACCCCCGGGAAAAACTACTTTTCCCAATGCTACAACAATATCCTGGAAATGATTAGAAATAAAGTGCGTGGGAAGAAGATTTTCGTTTCTATTGATGAGACCTGCAATACGGAGGCTCGCTACTTGGCAAACATCATCATTGGAACCTTGGAAATTGATGGACCAGGTGAAGTGTTTCAGCCTACGAGTGAGGTACTAGAATCCATTAATCATTCCATAATCTGTAAACTCTTTGACAGGTTGATGTTTCTACTGTGGCCAGAGGGTATACGGCACGACGTCATCTTGCTTTTTGTGACCGATGCGGCCCCATGTCAAGTCAAGACAAGTCAATAAAGTCGTTTTATACGCAATTGGTGCACGTTACTTGCCAAGCACACGCACTGCATAGAGTGACGGAGGAAGTGAGATCAAGATTTCTTCAAGTGGATGCTCTCGTATTGTGGACGAAGAAGTTTTTCGTCAAGGCTCCAGCTCGTAAAATACAATTTAAATCTATGGCTCTTGGTGTTCCACTGCCTCCGGAACCCATCATTACAAGGTGGAGAATGTGGATTGATGCTACAATTTACTATTGCTATCATTTTTAGACAGTGAAAAACATTGTATATTCAATGAAGACAGAAGATGCAAGGACAATTAGAGCTGCTCAGGAACAGTTCTCATACAGCGAAATGGAAGGACAGATGGCCTTCATAAAGGCAAATTCAGTTCCTTGAGGAAAGGAATCAAATGCTTACAGAAGAAAGGAGCAACGCTACAAGATCTGCTCACTCTCGTGGAAAAAAAAATAAAAAATAGCCAGTGATTTGGAGAAAGTGTCAGGGGACATTGGTAAAATGGTGTCAAGAAAAATGAAACATGTTCTAGATAAAAACTCAGGTTATGAAACATTATGCAGCATTTATCAAATTCTGACAGGAGAGTCCTTCAGCACTTTCAGTATTGAAGAAGAACTTACTGATAGTGATTTGGTACACTTTAAGTATGCTCCCATTGTGTCTGCAGATGTGGAAAGGAGTTTCCCCAAGTACAAGAATGTGCTGTTGGACAATAGACACTCACTCACCTTCGAGAATCTCAGCATGTTGACTGTTATCTATTGCAACTCTGAATGAGGTGGCACTTAAATATTGGAATATACACCATATATGTACATTTGATAAGCGTTCCAACATGGGAGAGAAGATCGTATTAAAACATTCAGCTTCAGATTCAATCATATATTGCTTAATTTTCAACATAAAAATGAGGACGAACTTAAAAGAGTAACGATGAGTTCGCAGTGTTAATAAAGATTACAAATACATTTTAAAACAATTAGATTTTCCATGACATTATACATTTTAGGTTGTTTTTTAAATTTTAGGTCACTTTTTGGAATTTTTGGTCAATTTATAGGTCATTTTTCTGCATTTTCGATGATTTTATAAGTGATTTTTCTGGATTTTTCAGTCATTTTTAAAATATTTTTAGGTCATCAAAATCCAGGCCCTGGTTATAATTGACATCAGTAGAATTTGGTAATTTTTTAATTGCAGTTTGAAATTAAGTTTTTGTTTCTCAGTTTCTTTAAATTCTCCCTCTCCCTTTATTTATATTTAGTGTGATTATCAGGCACGATTTGCCATACAGACTGAAATCTCACATGACATTCTCGTCATTTATGCAATGTTGTATGCTTTGTTGATTGCACAGGAGCTTGTCTTTGTCTACAGTTCTGTAAAATCTTCTCAAAACTTACTGTCTTCTTGCATCATGAATATTGATATTTCAGAGACTCCATGACTTCTATGAAAACCACCACTTTGTCTGCAAGAGCCCACCACTAGAAAACGTCTTGAACCACTCACACACTATTTCTTTGTGATCTAATTCAACATTGTCCTGTTTATACCTTGGTCGCCCAAGCATTCTTAAGTTGTAAAATTAATGTTTTGTATACATTTCTCATTTCTGGTATGAGAAGTACATGCTCCTCAATATCATCCTCTCTTTGTTTCATGCTAATAATATTTGGCTCCCTATTATTCAATTATCTCCAACTTCCTGTTACTTTCTCTCTTATGGGTCCAGATATTCCCCCTGAGAAATTTCTTCTGACGTACTTTCAATCTGTATTCTTGTATTCCAGTGAGAAACAAAACTCTATGCCCGTATAAAACAAGGGAAACTATAGTATATACCGTCTTCATGAAGTAATTTGATTTGTTACTGTCATTCCCAAGTATTTTAACTTTGCCACATTTTTAAAGATAGTTAGGTAATTTAATTATTTATCTTTATATCAAGATTTTGTCCCATATTCTGATGGTCACACATGAGCACGTACTCATTTTTCTCTTTGTTTCTAGACTTCATTATGTAGTAACATTTCTATGCTTTACTTTATTGCATTTATATTTCTTCTCAGTATGTGAACAGAAGTTGATGATGTGTTCTAATCAAATTTGATTGGAGAACCCCAGAGACTGAGACCACTTTGGAGGTGTAAATATATTGAAATGTATCTTAGATAAGTAAGGTGCAAAGATGTGGAATGAGCTGGACAGGTTCAGGACAGAGTTCAGTAATTGGCTTTTAGTATGAACATTATTTAGTAGTACAAAGGCAGGGAATTTCTTGAAGAGTTGAATAACTTATCAGCTGCTTTAAGAAGTCCCTATACTGATGAGTAGGTTACCAAACTTGCTGCTGAACAGTTGCATGAAACTCTTAACATGCCGAAACAGATAAACACTGATGTGGACATGGGCAACAGATTAAAATGTTCATGCATCCCTGATTCTGGAAAGAAATGTAACACTTGAGTTAAAACACTCAAGTTAACTTACCCACTGCCTGGTGTATATGGTCCAGTCATCGTGCCTATCACCGCATCTGTAGACAAGGTGGCCTTCAGTGGCTCTGATTCAAACCAGTGATTTAGAATGCTACTTGCCGGAGCTGTTAGGAATTCATAGAGAGCAGGAATATCAGCACCAAGCAAGCTAACAGATGTAGCTGTAAAGAGCCAATAAAATATTGTTATTTATTTCTGGTTTGCAGTTTGTTTAACTTAGACTATATAGCACCAAATGGTGAGATGATATGTGATACAAATCAGAAAGAATGTGAAAGGAAATGGTTGTGGTCTAATTTAACATATCATCCTGTCATTTCATTAGAGTGACTGAGGAAAACAGCAAAGAACCTAAGTCAGGGTAGTCAATATCCTCACTGAAATTCAAAGTGGACAATTCCTGAATGTATGGAGCATTATTGTTTAAGCAAATGAGCTCAGTTAATATAGCTGTAGTTAGAAGGAAGGCTGTGGAGACCTAATTAATGTAAATCAATCTTCCTGGGGGCAGTAGGTTGATGATATCTCAAGGTACATATAGAAGAGACAGAAGTAACATTATCCTAAAATTGCAGTCTCCTTAGTCTTGTTAATCACTTTTGTGTTAATGTTTGCAAAATTCTGATATGTGTGTGTTTTTGGGAGGGGGGGGGTAGTGATTTGCAATTGGCAATTTTCAGAAACTGGGTAATCATAGGTAAAAAGATAATTATTTACCAGAGGGGAGACAACAAGGATTGTGATATGGTATTATGGCAAATATTTGTATGAACTCTGAGCTTGTTATAGAATGGACAAAATTGCCTACTTCATGTATATTATTAGTATCTCTTTGAAATCTCCTCTATAGAGGAGGAACTATTCAATCCACAAATACTTCAACAAATTTCCCTGTGAAGAACAGCAGCTTCTGGTTGTTCAGTCCCAGCAAAAGTGATAATATTCTAGCCCACCAAAAAAAAAAAAAA